AATTTCTCCTACAAAACCCCTGAAAGTAGGCAACCTACAGCAAATCGCCCCCTCCGTCATACGGACTTTAAACAGCGCCTGATAACACGAGGGGGCAGGGGTATGGTGGGACCAGGGCAGGGCAAGAAACAGGTTTCCGTTGGTTTCTTAGTCCGTGGGCGTTACCTACCACCTAAAAGCGTACGAGCGAGTAGGCACGCTGGACTTGGTTCGCGAGGTGGGTTGGAAGCTAAGGGCTCGGGGCGACAATAGCGATAAAGGGTCAACGAGTCCGTATGGAGCAAAGACGAGCTAGCAGTGCCATATGCTGACGACGGGCTGCTACTGATCATCAAAGGGGCTGGCGGAGGCACCCCAGGCCAGGACGGCCACCCTCCTCCAAGCAGAAAGTACCCCGGTCGTTCCTCTGGCGAGGCCTTCGGACAGAGCGGCACTGAGGCCTATAGGTAATGGCCGTCGCACAGCCATGAGTCACGTGACACGGGATGGCCGAGGCCCCGCCGCCGTGCTCGCGGAGTGAGTCACGGAGGAGGCCGTCCGTCCTGAGTCACAGCGCAGCAGCAGCAGCAGCGCAGCAGCCGCGAGCACGGCCAACATTTTGAACGAGTGGCGCGGACGGCGGGGGCCCGGCCCAGAACGGCACCGGGGCGCTGCGAGCCAGGGCCACCATGCCGCCATACCGCCGCCTGACCGGACGGGGCGGGACACCGCTGAGCGGGGTTGGCATGCCTGACTCACAGCAGGCCGCGCAACGCTACGCCGCCATGGGCCACGCACCACCAGGCCTGCAGCTGACCGAAATACGCCCGTCGGACTGGCGGCCGGGGCGGGGCGGGCGATGCCACTGGCATGGTCGACAGAGGGGCGGGCCGCGGATAAGAAGAGGGTGGGGAGAAGTTTTCAAGAGGAAGTCCACAACTGTGGTCTGCATGTACCTTGCGGCATTTAACACAAGTTATAGGCAGTACAACAGACAAGTAACTATTGTCCCAGTACTTCAAAATACACGTTTTAAATAAACGTCATACAAAATTGCTGGCTTGTATTGCAGGCATTAATACAGGCATAAACTGGCTTCCGAGTGTGAGCGAAATGGTGAGGTGAAGCACCTAGCCAAGACACATTCGCCAACCTCCTCACATTCGGCACACAAAGAACGCTGCAGCACACAGACCACGCAGGGCTCCACGCGAATGCTGCTGGCAGCGCAGAGCGGAGAGGGAGGCAGCGTTGTGGGCGCAACCCTTCGCTCGCCTTCGTCGCTGCGGTGGCCCTGGCCTAGGGCGAGCCGCTCAGCCGATAGGTAGGCAACCTCGCTGCGCTGCGCGCACCACGCGAATGCTGCTGGCAGCGCAGAGCGGAGAGGGAGGCAGCGTTGTGGGCGCAACCCTTCGCTCGCCTTCGTCGCTGCGGTGGCCCTGGCCTAGGGCGAGCCGCTCAGCCGATACATAGCTAGGCAACCTCGCTGCGCTGCGCGCAGAAGTGTCCGGCCGGGGTGCTTACCCGCACGGCGCTCCGATGGGTGAAGGTGGCCCCGCTACGCGAGCCCGAGGCGCGGTGCTCAGCCTGTAGATGGGCAACCTCGCTGGGCTGCTCCCAGGAGTGCCCGGCGGGGGTGCCTACCCGCACGGCGCTCCGATGGGTGAAGGTGGCCCCGCTACGCGAGCCCGAGGCGCGGTGCTCAGCCTGTAGATAGGCAACCTCGCTCGGCTGCTCGCAGGAGTATCCGGCGGGGGTGTCGACCCGCACGGCGCTCCGATGGGGGGAGGTGGCCCCGCCGCGCGAGGGCGAGGCGAGGCGGGCGCGGGCCCCCTCAGCCTGTAGATAGGCAACCTCACTGGGCTGCTCGCAGGGGTGTCCGGCGGGGATGCCTACTGGCAAGGCGCTCTGGTGAATGGCAGCGCGAGGCGGACCGCTCAGCCTGGTCATAACAGGGCGGAGGGCGGAGAAGGGCATAGGTTGCGGGGGGTGGCGCACTACTGTGCGTCGTACGTCAGCAGGGCTCGTTGGTTACAGTAACGTAAATGTAGTAAACCTATACTTATTGCATACAAATGGATTATGTGGGTTTAGGTGTAGGCACAGAAAAATGTGCGACGTGGAAAAGTCTAATTTCCTCGCGTTCCTCCACAAACAAATAATATTTTTCGAAAACCGAGACTAGAATTGCGAGCGCTCTCGCACAGACCCAGCCGCTCTTCGGGCCTGCTCCCCCTCTCTCGCGCCGGCTGCCACCACCCGCTCGCCTCCTCCCTCCTCTGCCCCTCTCTCATAAGGCCTCCTACTCCGCTCCGACTCCCTCTGTCTCTCTCTCTCTCTCTCTCTCCTCTCTCTCTCTCTCTCTCTCTCTCTCTCTCTCTCTCGCTTTCCCTCTCCCTCCTCGTATTCTCCGACCCTCTCTGCTCTCTCTTTGTCCCACTCGCAGCAAACAGAGAGCGCCTGTTCCCCTTCGCACCGTCCGCGCGGGCCCCGCACACGTGCAAGCGAGTTGGAAGAGAAAGACCCTCTCTGTCTCTCTCTTGTGTCGCCCCGCGTCGTCCCTTCCCCGTGCCCTCCCGTTGGGCGGAATTAGAGAGAGACGGAGAGGGAGGGAAGAGGCGGGCAGGGGCGGGAGGATGGAGGGAGGGGAGAGGGGAGGAGCGGGGTGGGTTCCTTGCTCCGCTCAACTTGAGTCATCACGAGCACATTCAAGATGTACGCTCAATCCAGCATGAGGGTGGGACAGACTGATTGTCACTCCGACCCCCGAAATCCCCACCCCCTTTTCCTTCTCTCTCTCTCTCTCTCTCTACCCGAAACCATACCAATCAAATAGTCAACCATCAACCAAGCACTGTCCTCAAAACCAGCACCACCGCCAGAATGGCTGATTCATCCAAGAAGTCGAAGGAAACCTCGCAGGCTTATTTTCAAAACAGATGATAAGGTTCTGTTCAGTGTATCACCGTGAGTCGACTTTTATTTGGTCATGAGTTGGGCATTACTACTGACTGCGCAAGAGCAAGTCAAACATGAAATTCGATTCAATCCCTAGTTTTACAGTTTAAACTGCAAAACCGAAAAGTTTTACAGTTTGAACAGAAACTAAAAAAGTTACACAGATTGAACTTTCAAACTAGCCCTAAACAGTTGCGCAGTTGAAACAGTAGAACGATTCAGTTTTTCAGTTTCGCAGTTTAAACAGTTCTAAATTGTTGTTCTACAGTTTGATTTGCAGTGCAGGTTTTGAACCTCAGGCCTCAGGTCAGGATGGACAAGCTACCGGGAATTACCTGCGAGAACGGTCTGGAACCCGGTGGGGGTGGGTGACATATGCATTCAATGCGTCCAGCGCAGTTTTTTTATGTTTTAGAAAAACACTACAAAATTTTGACGGTAGTTATTTGCGTCATGAATGTTCATCTCATCTCAAGCGACTAATTGGTTATCAAAGTGACAAATAGTGACGACTGTATCATCTCATCCCCTGTGACACTCGATACTTTGTTGTCACGGGACAAATCGGTCTACCAGTGCAGCAAGAGAGCCAGGCCCAAGTTGACTCCGAGGCAAAGCGGACGGCGTCGTCCCTGCTGCGATCGGGGCTGGGTCCCGGTCCGGTAGGCCACGGTGCGCGTCGGTCGGTGTAGTCCCCGGCCCCGGGAGGCCAGGACCCGGTAGGCCCGGGCCGGGCAGTCTGTCGAGCGGCGCCTGCCTGGATGCCGTTTTCACCGCCGACTTGCCCCTTCGCACAACGCCCATTACTTTTGCTCTCGCTGGGCAGAAGCGGGTCCGCCGCGTGTCGCGAGGGTAGGCCAGCACGTGGGGCAGGTCAGTGCCTCTGGCGGCGCGGCGTAGGGCCATAAACACACAGGTGCATACGAAAGCAAACAATTGTTCTAGCGGGCGCCGCCCTCCCCTCCCCTCCCCCTCGCACATTTAAAGAGGAACTGTCGCCATGAATGGCGGGTGGGAGAGGCCCGGCCGGCCCTTGTGAATGGTGCAGATTCAAGGTGAAGTATGCCGACCGCAAGCCGAGCTAGCAGCAGCAGCGTCTGAGTGGGCCACCCTATCCTGCCCCGCTCCCCCTTTCCCTCCGCGGGCCCTGGTGCGGGCGTCCGCCGCCAGGGCGCAGCACGGCTCGGCGGCGCCCGCCTAGCGCCAGCGCGGCCGGGCGGGGGCGGCGGGGAGGGGGAGAGGGGAGGGCGAAGGAGTCCCTCCAGGCCGGCCGGCCGTGCCGCGGGGGCGGGGGCGGGGGAGGGAAAGGAGCAAGCCTGGAGGGAGGGACCGATGTTGGGCAAGAACCGCTGAGGTGGCCGTCATCCCCAGGACGACGGTCTCCCACAGGAGGGACGGGGGGTGCGGAATGGAAAGGAGGCCGAGAAGGGGAGGAAAGGCTCCAAGAGGCACCTATTTTCCATTTCGGACTAGGTCCTCGACGGCGTCCTGGACCGAGCGCGTCCCGGGAGCGGAGGGGGGACTGCGACCCCCCACAGGGGGACAGGGGCTGGAGAGGGCGGTGTGGGCGGCCGGCAGAGATTAGGCACGAAGCCGGCAGGGCGTGGCGGCCCAAGGTCACTCGCCGCCCGCTACGGTAGTCGTCCCGTCCCGTCCCGTCGCGTTCACCCCCTCATCTCTCGCTCATACTGACACGCCACCAAGTCTGGCGGCATACGGGGTCCGGCCGGGCCGGGCCGGCAGCGCGGCGGCCACTACACCATACGCTGCCGCGCCGGCAGAAGGGGTGACGTCACGGCGATCAGCTGACTGTGCGCTTGAATGCGCGCCGTGTCGCCCCGCTATCGATTTCACATGAAAAGCAAGAATACGTGTCGGGCCTGAGCGGCGCGGCGCTGTGTGGAGCCGCCGCCGCCGGCTGGGCCACAACACAACACGGTCGCGTCCCGCGTGGTCTCCCGCGCGCCGGCCCGGGACTTCCCTCCGAGGAGCGCCGCCGGCGAAACGGGGAGTGGGGGAGGGGACATGATGGGAGAAACGGGAGGGGGGAAGGGGTCCGGCTTTAGCGTGAAGCGAGGGAGCATTCTGAGACAGTCCCCAAGACTGTCTTTACCAGAAGGGAGAAATCCCTCCCCTATTTCGACCGGCTCTGGTTTATTTGGATCAGTCAATCTGGACATTTGTATGGAGGTGACAAACTACTTGTTAACAGATAGTACCTTAAACCATTTTCACCGAACATTTAGTACAAGAAGACGTAAGATGTCATAGCTAGTTTAACTCTCGATTAGAAGAGAAAGTGATGTACAACCAATCGCTAGACAAATGGTACATGGTACATATGGTACTACCGGGTACTACACTACATACATTATGGTGAAGGGGGGGTGAAGGGGAGGGAAAGAGAG